ATCAAAAAGAATTAACCTAGAAAGTAACACACACACACACAGGAAATTAATGTGAGTCAACTCCCTGTATAGCTGTCCTTATCTCAACCAGCAAAAACCCTTGCTCCTTCCTATTATGGCTTATACTCTCTCTACAACAAAATTAGAAATAAGGGCAAAATAGTTTCTGCTGGGTATTGAGGGGGTGGGGGGAGAGGGAGGGGGCGGAGTGGGTGGTAAGGGAGGGGGTGGGGGCAGGGGGGAGAAATGACCCAAGCCTTGTATGCACATATAAATAAAAAAAAAAATTCAGGGAGTTGACCCCTAGCTTTCAGCTATACAAAGCCTTAAAACAACTGACAAAACAAAATGCTCAAATCTTGTAAACACTTGTATTAGAACAACTCTGAATAGAGATTCGTGTTTGCCACCTGGAGACCATAATGCATTATATGTAAATACATTCCCATTTCAGGACCTGTCTGAGGTACCTTTTCCCTCACTGGATTCCCCAGGAATCCGTGGACCACAGAAGCCCCTTTGGAAGCCCTTTCCTAATCAAGACAGTGACTTAGTGGTACCAAGTGGCACAGACTCAGAACTCCATATACCATACCTCGAGTATGTGAATTCTGTCAAGCAGTTTTTCCACCATTCATTACATCCAGGGGGGATTTCTTCCAACATCTTAATTCACACTTTAATGGGGAGACTTAAGTCATATTTGAAAATGGACATATCAAGTTCTATGTGATGATTTGGGGTATCTATAAAGATACCTGATTGTAAGCTAAATTTAAAATCATTTATGGAAAAATTTAGTATTGCAGATATTTCAATTTTTTCTAAACTTATTTTGTAAGTTATCTTTTAAAAGACCGTTTTGTACAAAACTAATTCATTTTATTCATATTTACAGTATTACCATAATTCAAAATTATATGTGGCTTACAGAGTTATATAATCATAATTTATGTTTCTTTTAAGTACTAAATTTATTGCTTGGATTACTAGTGAGATGTATTGAACTTGGTGATGTCTAATGGTTAGAGGGTTTCATGTAAACATTTAAATTATGCTGCAGGTAATTTTTTTTTTAAATCTGTAATTGATAGAGATAGCAGACAATATAAGCATCTAAGTAAATACCAAAGCAAAGACATTTTGCCCCATTATAATTATTTAAACACTTTAGATTGTTTTCAATAATACACATGGTTTTAATTTTCACTATGTGTATAGCTACACAATGAAATGAATTAAATATTAAAAGAGTTTAAAAAAAAAAAAAGGCAGAGGCAGGAGGATAGCAAATTCCAGCCTGGGCTACATGGCAAGACTCTATCTCAGAAAAAAAACAAACAAAAAAGGAACCAGGAGAGAGTCAGACAATATAAGACCATGGAAGAAATTTTCTAGGAGAGAGGGAAACTGCACAGATTTAATTATAGCCAGGTACTGGTGGTTCATGCCTGTAATCCTAGCTAAAGACAGAAACAAAAACCTTTAAAATTCCAGGGAGGAAGAAAAAAATAAGTAAACAAACAAACAAAAAAAGAAAAACCAAGCAAAAAAAAGAAGAAAAAATTCCAGGGAAGAGGGCTAGGGTTGAATCTCAGTTTGTAGATCATTTGGCTAGCATATGTGAGGCCCAGAGTTCCATCCCCAGCACCACAGAGAAAAAAATTTTCAGGGAAAGACTAGCCATTCTTAATTATTGACTCAGAATACTTCATAATAGGTAACTTGTATTTGTATAAGAAGAAAACTGGAAAACTGGCTGGCAGAGTGGCTCAAGTGGTAAAGTGCCTGCCTAGCAAGCGTGAGGCCCTGAATTCAAACCCCAGCACTGAAAAAAAAAAAAAAAAAAAAGAGGAAAGCTGCTGAAAATACTGAAAGAAGAGGAGTCACTAAAGGATTTTCTCTAAGTCACACAAATAAGATAGCAACAGGGCTGAGTACAGACTCCAACCTCAGAATACATTTTAGCCACAACCTTTGGCACCTGAGGTTCTGAAAACTCTACTAAAGCTATGAAAGAATAGAAATCTGGAGAAGAGCAAGAGATCTAATTGTACCCAGGTGCTGGTAGATCATGCCTGTAATCCTCGCTACTCAGGAGGCAGAGATCAGAAGGATCACGCTTTAATGCCAGCCTGGGCACATAGTTCTTGAGACTCTATCTCTAAATGGTTTTGAGAGACCCTATCTCAAAAAAACATTCACAAAAATAGGGCTGGTGGAGTGGCTCAAGGTAAAGGCCCTGAGTTCAAGCTCCAGTACTGCAAAAAAAAAAAAAAAAAAGAGCGATCTAATTGTTATATTTGCTCCAGTCCCAGGTAGTCCTCCCTAATTCTATTATGGAGATGACATGCTGCATCTATGAACATCACAAGCCCAAACAAAACAGGAAGCTGAGGATTTAAGAAGACCCCAATCTGGAGGGCAGCAATGTTTGTGGCAAGTCCAAGTTTAAAAGCAGCAAAGCAGTATCATACAGGCAGGAAAGCCATTATAGGATTGATGGGAGGTTTTTGTTCTTGGTTTTTGTTACTGTTGTTTGGTGTTGGGGATCAAATCGAAGGTCTCACACATGCTAAGCATGAGCTTTTACACTGACCCTCTGGCTCCACAAATGATTGATTTGTTTAATTTTGGTTTTGAGGCTCTCACTGAGCTCTCAGCTCAGGCTTCATGAAACTCCCTATGTAGTCCAGGCTGGCTATGGACTTGTGATCCTCCTGCCTCCACTTCCTGAGTGCTGAGATTACAGCCATTTTTAAAAATTATTCCAAAACATCAAAATTAATTTATTTGCAATTTCACCAGCAAAAAGTGACCTATTGGAAAAGTTTATCTCAATTTCAAATATAAATCAATAGACAGATTAAAATAGTTTGTTTGTGTTTTGGTTTTTTGAGACAAGGTCTCACTGTAATAGCTCTTTGGCTGTCCTCAAACTCAGTAATCCATCTGCTTCTATCTCATTACAGGCATGTATCACTACTAAAACAGTTTTAAGGTAGGGTTACAACTCAGTGGGTTGAGTGTTTGCCTAGCATGCAGGAGATCCCGAGTTTGAGTCCCAATACCACAAAAAATAAACTTACTTAAAGATAAAAGTTTTAAGTAACAACTTTAAGATGTTTTAATAAGTAGCCACAACAGTTTGCCCTGTGAGAATCCTAGGCACAAAATTAACCAGAAATATATGGGATACATTTTCACTTGCTTAGCTGAATAGATACAATATTTCCATAATCCAGTACAACTGTCTGGTGAGGCTTTTGCACTTAAAGCAAGAGTGAGGCTCTCGGGCTGGTGGAGCCACTCAACCAATAAGAGTGCCTGCCTAGCAAGTGTGAGGCCCTGAGTTCAAACCCCAGTGCCACCAAAAAAAAAAAAAGACAATCTCTGGAAGAATTACTGAGGTCCATGTGGAGACTGTCAAAGAAACTGTTTAGGTAAAAATATTTAAATGTGGCTGGGCGCTGGTGGCTCATGCCTATAATCCTAGCTACTCAGGAGGGAGAGATCAGGAGAATCATGGTTCAAAGCCAGCCTAGGTAAATAGTTCACAAGACCCTGCCTCGAAAAAACCCATCACAAAAAGGGCTGGAGTGGCTCAAGGTGTATGTAGGGCCTGAGTTCAAGTTCCAGTAATGCAACAACAACAACAAAATATTTAAATGTGTCTTCTATGAAGATCAATTCCATGGGGTGTAACTTCTGCTTAATGAAATATAGCAAAGATGTATCTGTACTAATCAGAGAGTAAAAAAGATTTTTGGCTTAAACTGATGTAATAAAGTAAATACCGCATAAATGATATTTGCTTTAAGATAGGAAAACCGGAGTCCTGAGCTAGTAAGGAGAGAAAATAGAATGACCTGTGGAGACCTGAAGCGGTTTCTCTTCCCTCCTCCTATTTCTATTCCAAGGGAAGGATTGGTTAAAGGATAAAGCATTTTCTCACATCGGAGAGCCTCCCTTAAACTATCAAGGATTTGATAGCCCTATGCAAAGTCATCTCCAGTAAAAGGCCACATATTTGTCACCATGTCAGTCAGTCACATACCAGTGTTGGGGAGGCAGGCTCCAAGTGGCAGCCATTTGAGAATGCCATCTGAGACTTCGTGAAAAAGCCTAAGGGCAGAGCTCTTCCCCCTAATTCCAGGGTAGGGATGAGAAGGACACAGGAGTCAGTCGGTCTTGAGGTGTTTGTTGGAGCAGCAGGAAGAGCTAGAGGAGTGGTTTCAGACTCTTTCCTTCATCCCAGAACTGTTAGGAGAATTAACCACGAGGCTATAAAATGAATTAATTGCTTCAGAGAAAATATTAGCATTGTCAAGTCCCTAATTTTGCTTCATTAAACTCTTCTCCAAAAATAAGGGCAGTTGAGAAAGCCTGCTTTTCCTGTTGTTTTTATTGCTTTATGTCTAGAAAATTACAAACAATAGATCCTTGCCCTGGCAAGTCACCTGAGGAGCTTTTAAAATAATACTGATGCCAGATTCCCTACACCGGTCCAATTAAGTAAAAATCTCTAGGGGTGGTGTCCAGCACAAGTGTTTTTTTAAAGGGTCCCAGGTCATTCTATATGCAGAGTTGACAACTACACCTTCTAGTCTTAAAACTGATACATTAAAACGTGCTAAAAAGGTGGTTTTAGCAACGTTTAGTGAGACTTGCGCCCATTAATGATTTTAATCCAGCCCCTTAAATTAACACTGTTCTTCTACAATCAGTGAAGGGAACAACGCCAACATCCTTTTCGCTCCCTCGACATAAACTTAGTTGTCTCGGACGGAGGGTCCGGAACTGGACTGCGGCCAGCCCAGGGCTTTTGGCCTCCGGGGGCCGAGGAGCGCCCTCTCAAGACACTGGGGACTGCGGCGTCCGGTGAGGGATCCCGGAACCTGGGTCAAGCTCCGCCCCTGACTCTGCTGGGCTCCGGTGCTCCGGACCCATTCCTCCACGCCGCCGCGGCCGTACACTTAAGACTACATTTCCCACAATGCACCCCGGGGCGGGCTGGGTCGGGCCCAGCGGCTGGAGCCCGGCCTCGGCAGCCAGAGGCCGGCGAAGACTGTCTCTGCTCCGGCGGCGGGGAGAGGGACGGCAGTGGGAATCCGAGCCTTCGCTGTGGCCATGTCTATGTCAGCCAGGGGCCGTGGCCCCGCGAACCTGCACCCGCTGGCCAGGCCCGGCTGGACACTCATACCTCCCCGCGGGTGCGGCAAAGGGCAGTAGTAACCCGCACCCTCTGAACGTCCTGGGCACCCCCAAGAAACAGGTGAGTCTGACTGCCAGCCCACGTGGCCTGGGGGTGTCGAAAGACAGGGCAGCTGTCATCCTTAGAGGGAGTGGCTTGAAGACTGGGGGGGTCCCCGCCATGTATGGTACCGTTTGCATAGGAGCACTGGGTCTCCTTGGAGTCCCTCAGCCGGATGGCCCCAAAGTGAGCAATACAAAAGACTAGATCCGGAACCCACCTTCTTGCCAGGAGGGCATGGTGTGGTAAAAGGCAGAGGCTGGATTGGACCTTCTCTCCCTGCAACACAGACATAGTCGACCCTCAGAGTCCTTTCAAAAAGCCACACAAGTGCGATGGAGAGAACCAGGCAATTCCTGAAAAGATCTTGGGACTTCGTGGGAGAGGGTGCCCTGGCTCAGATAACTGAGCTGCCCCTTGTACAGGACGAGCCACCCTTCCTGGGTTTCAGTTTGCTTGGAAACTGTAAGCAGCCTTTGTCAGGGAGGGGAGTGGCCGTCAGGGTGACAAGGACAAGGCTAGAATCTCAGCATAGGGTAGGCATCTGGCTGAAGCAGCCACAACACAGCCTCACCTGGACCCTTTCTGTCACAGATCTTGCATTTTGTCACCACTCTTCCAGATGGACTGCTCCACAAAGGGTCAAGGCAGGGTGAAGCACCATCTAAGCAGGAAGAGCGATCAAGGTGGTTAGGAGCCAGTAGGGAGGAGCTCTTGCAAGCCCTTCCCACTCTGAGGGAGACACACTAGAAGGGCTGATTGTGACAACTTGTTTGGTAACATTGCTCACAAGTCCTGCAGGGCACTTTTAGGCAAATTAGCAAGCCATAGAGGGGCTGCCTGAAAAGGTGCCCATAGAGGCATCTGGGGCTGGTTCTGAGAGACCTCCCTTGCCTAACTACTATAGGCCCAGCCTTCCAGGAGCTTTAGCTACACAGATCATGGTTCTAGTGGAGGTTGGGATGGGTTTTGCCATGATTCACTCAGCCTTCCTGCCTGAATTTCCAGGGTAAACATTCAGAAAGCTGTTCTCTTCATCAGGCCTTCAGACTGGAACCTCAGACTGACCTTGGAGAGTCTGAGATTCTATATGATCTCACATGGCAAGGGAACTGTTTTGAAAGAAGCATCTTCTAGTCCTGGACATCTTACCCTGCCCCCTTCCCCATGCAGGTACCATGCTGGGTACACTCAGACACACTGGGCTCAGTTATCTGAAGTCCACAAGGGATCCTGAGGGAGTGGGTCCTCAGGTTAGAGCTAAGCTGCTGTAGACCTTGTTTGGATTTTTGAGCAGAGTGCAAGGCACAGGGCAGGGATATTTTGCAGACCAAGGAGTAAAACTTAAGATTGATTTCCAGGAGCAACCAAGAGCTAGTGATCTATTTCTGCAACTGCCAGGCCAGTGAACAGCCACTCCTTTGTCTGGTATTCTGAGCCTGAGACCCATAGATGTGCCTCTTTGACCTTACATCACAGGTGGATCACTTCAGTCTAGAGTCTACCTGGCTTCATAAGGTTAGAAGGAAGTTTGCCCAGGCCATTTATGTAGGGCCTGGCTCAGGCTGAGCAAACTCTCAAAGTACTGATTTATGTGACAGACCACTGGATCTGTGTATAAGTGGAATCTGAGTGTCAAGTAATAATCATGATGAACTGGGTATAGTGGTACATGCTATAATCCCAGCACTCAGGGCTAAGGCAGAAGGATCAAAAGTTCAAGGCCAGCCTGGGCTGCATAGCAAAACCCTGTCAAAAGTTTTTTAAAAAGTAATCATGATATGCTAATGGAAGCAACTGAGTATAAAAATGCCTACTCTGGGGCTGGGGTGTAGCTCAGTGGTAAAGCACTTACCTGACATGCACGAAGCCCTGGGTTCAATCCCTAGCTAGCACTGCAAAAAAAAAAAGCCTACTCTGTAACAAAATTACATGTATCATCTCGTTTAAATTTGTTACAACCCAACAAATCAGTACTGCCTGTTTGCGGGTTGTTGCAGGTTGTATTGGTTCCTTGCTATTTTATAGGTGAGGAAACTGAGACCAATAAAACTAGGTCCCTCTAACTGCAGAGCTATTGTTCCTGAATACTTGATTACTACAAAAGACAAGTCTCCTCCACTATCAGGGCTTACTTGCCTCATTGCAGTTGTGCGGGAGCTGAGTGATCTTCATAGATCTTCCACTTTCCCTTCCAAAGATGTTTATCTGGCAAATGTTGGTTGGACTCCTCTTGGTTCTGATGATATGAAATTTGTAGCAGGCCCCAGGGTGACCTTCAATTCAGAGAAATAAACCAGGGTGAGCAGGGATATTGCAGAAAGGCCTCTCTGATAAGGTATTATAACACTTGAGCAGTAACCTGGAAGAAGTGAAAGAGTGGGTCACGTACTACTTAGGCAAGGAAATAGGTAAAATTGGGCACAGGAGGACAGTTCGGTAAGGGCAAAGTTTGAAGTGAAGGAGTATTCAGGATGCTTAGGTAAGCTATGAGGCCAGTGTGACTGAAGAAAGGGTGAGGAGAAAGGGTAGGAGATGAGGTCAAAGAAATAAAGGAAAGAAGACATGCTGAGAGAAGCCCTGTGCACCCCTGTGAAGAAATTGACTTCCTTGATGATTAATGTTTAACTATTACAGAGTTGTGAGCAAAGGAATTACATGACCTAACTTCTGTTTCAGGAGGATCACTTTGAGTGCTGTGGAAGGATAGACTATACAGGAACAAGAACAGAAGTGGTGAGACATTAGGAGACTGTTGCAATAATATGCTAGAGAGATAATGGTGACTTGGACAATGGTAGTCATGGAGGTGATGAAAAGTGGTCAGATTCTAGATATAGGCATTTACCACTTAACATTAGTAATCTGTTCCATTGAAGTTAGACATTCTCTTTAGAATCACTTAGTGTCTACATCCCATTATTATTATTATTATTATATTATTATTTTGCAGTACTGGGAATCAAATCCATGGCCTCGCGCATGCTACACAAGTACTCTACCATTGAATAACATCCCCAGTCCTATTTCCCATTATTTTACTTATTTATTTATCTATTTTTCAGTGGTGCTACAGACTGAACCCCTGAGCTACACCTCCAAATCTCCCGTATTCTCCTCCTCCTCCTCCTCCTTCCTCCTCCTCCTCCTCTTCTTCTTTCTTCCTCCTCTTCCTCCTCTTCTTTTTCTTCCTCCTCTTCCTCATCTTCTTCTTCTTCCTCTTCCTCTTCCTCCTCCTCCTCCTCCTCCTTCTTTCTTCTTCAGTTGTGGTGGCACCAGGGTTTGAACTCAGGGCCTTGCACTTGCTAGGCAGGTGCTCTGCCATGCCCCCAGTCCTCCTCTATTATTTTAAATCGGAAAAAAAATAATACTTTTCTCATCAAACCCAAATCCCCAATTTTATAAAATGGTACTAACACATAGTATTAGTCTGCAAAATGCTTAAAACATTCCCTCCTGATCATCAAACGAGGTTGATTTTTCTTTTTTTTTTTTTTTTTTGGTGGTACTGGAACTGGACCTCAGGGCCTCATGCTTGTTAGAAAGGCACTTTACCACTTGAGCCACACCTCTAGCCCTTTTTTTTTTTTTGCAGTGTTGATGATCAAATCTGGGACTTCACTCATTCTAGGCAAGTGTTTTACCCCGAACCACCTCATCTCCAGGCTATGTATTGCTTTCTTTGATGCAGTATCAGTATCATGGCTTCTCTGTCTCTCTCTTTCTCTCTCTGTCTCTCTCTCTCTCTCTCTTTTTTTTGTAGTACTGGGGTTTGAACTCAGGACCTTGTACCTGGCAGGCAGGCACTCTAGCACTCTACCACTTGAGCTATGCCCCCAGCCCTTTATGGCCTCTTTTAGTGTCTACAACAGCCATGATACAAGTAAGCCCTGTTAGCTGGCATGTAATTATTTATTTATCAGTTCTATTTGGAATGTAATTTGAGACTTTAAATACACATTACTTTGTTAAAAATATAGATAAACCTGGCACTGGTGGCTCACATTTGTAATCCTAACTACTCAGGAGGCAGAGATTAGGAGGATCATGGTTGGAAGCCATCCCAGGCAAATAGTTCCCCTGACCCTATCTCGAAAAACCCCATCACAAAAAAGGGCTGGTGGAGTGGCTCAAGCAATAAGAGCACCTGCCTAATAAGCATGAGGATAGATAGATAGATAGATAGATGGGCTGGAGGTGTGACTAAAGTGATAGAGTGTCTGCCTAGCAAGTTTGAAGCCCTGAGTTCAAACCCTAATACCACAAAGTTCTTGTGGATCAGGAATTTGGGAGCAGCTTAGCTGGATGGTTGAGGTTCAGAGTCTCTCATGAGTCTGCAGTCACCTAAAGGCTTGATTGAGCCTAGGTGATCTGCTTGCAAGAGGATTCAATCACATGACTGGAAAGTTGATACTGGTTGTTTGCAGGAGAGTTCCTTGCCGTGAGGTTCTCTCTGCGGGATTGCTTTTGTGTCCTAACATGGCTGACGGTTTTCTCTAGAGTGAGTGATCCAAAAGAACAAGGAAAAGCCACAATGTCTTTGATGACTTAGCCTCTGAAATCACACATTATTATTCTCACTAGTATACTGTTGGTTACATAGGTCAGCTGTACTAAGTATGAAAGAGAAGTACACAAAGGCTGAAACACCAGGAGTTGAGGAACATCACTCGAGACTTTTTTTTTTTAGACAGGGTCTTACTATGTTGCCCAGGCTGGCTTCAAACTACTGGGTTCAAATGAGCTTCTCACCTTAGCCTCCCAAGTAGCCAGGACTGTAGGCATTTACCTCTGTACTTGACTACATCTTAAAGGTTGGCCTATCACAGTTGAATTTAAAAACCAAAAGGTGAGGCTGGAGGTATGGCTCAAGTGGTAGAGTGTCTGCTTTACAAGTATGAAAGCAGGAGTTCAAACCCCAGACCCACCCCATCAAAAAACAAAAACAAGAGGCAGGCTAGTGGAGTAGCTCAAGTGGTAGAGTGTCTGAGGTCCTGAATTCAAAGTCCAGTACCACCAAA